GTCTCTGTGGTGGGACAGATGCACTGTGTGATCTGGCTGTTGGGCTCTGTGCTGGGACAGATCCACACTGTGATCTGGCTGGTGGGCTCTGTGCTGGGACAGATCCACACTGTGATCTGGCTGGTGGGCTCTGTGCTGTGACAGATCCACGCTTGCTGGGCTCCAGGAGGTTAAAATGTCTGTGAGTGTGACTTGTGTCAGACAGTGGCTTGTCAATAGCTTAATTCACGCTGCTACACGTTAATATTTTGGTCTTTGCATTAAAACCAAACACCTTCAGTAGAATGTCTGGAGAGGAGGAGTGCCAACGTTGTCTCTTTAGTAGCCTGGCAAAGACAATTCCTTTATCTTGTGGCAAACTTCCCCATCTGGGAGTAAATGAAATGGCTCCAGATGAAATGGCAACCTGTTAACCTTCAGCCATCACTGATTGTTCCTGGAAAACTTAGAATTAGGCTGTTAATATCAGCCTAAGTACAGCTTTTCTTGCCATAACTCTCGTTCTTTGCCTAGGACAACGTATCTCTGGGTTTTACAAGGCAAATGTAAATTGTGTTCAGTAAAGCAGGACAGAGCTCCGAGGTGCTCTGCAGTGAATTTGTGTTTCCTCAAGGGATGTACCAACAATTCCTTTGGCATCTCCTAGGGGTACTCGATGATTTGGATTAAAGTTGGTGCAGAAAAAAGAGGATTAGGAAGCAAAGCAGCTCTCCTGGAACTTGCATCCAGTGTTCCAATGTGAGATGGGGCACAGATTTCGCGAGTGAAAAAAGCAGTTTTCTAAAGCTGTTAATTATTCAGAATTATTTGCCAAATTACTTACCAAAAATTCCAGGCTTGTAACCCGTTCTCAGCCTAAGGAAGACAAAGGGAGAACTGTTTAAGGTCACGCTACCTTCAGTAGCTCACGTGGTGTGTTTCTCCTCCTGGGTTGGATGAATTCTTACTACTGGCTTCCCAAAGTGCAAACCCATGTTTGCAGATTTAAAACGAGTTTATTCTCCAGAGTATCTGCAGCTCTTGCACGCGCCTTAAAGCTGATTCCGAGCTCAGCCACGGGGACTGTGAACTGGAAATTTTTGAGGAGAGCTTTCTGTTCCTGTTGCTTAGCCCGTCTCAGCTGCTAAGGGCATTACTGAGGCATCAGAATGGTTGGTGGCTTTTGCCTCACGTGTTTTTTAAGATACAAAGCTTTTGAGTTTGGATTCTGTCAGCCCCGTTGTGGTGAAGAACTCGGGTATTTCAGAGGCCTGAATAAAGAGAACTGGAAACCCGGCCCAGAGTTCCTCTCCTCTCCAGGAAGACTTTGGTATTGCTGATCCACAGGTCTCCTTTATTTTTTTTCTCTCCAGAATCACTCTGATGTTCTGACTTCAGAGAAGTCTTTGGGGAAATACCTGTGCTAAAGCATGTCTTGCACTGTATAATTTGTCACCTTTTTAATTTGTCAGTTTTAACTGTACCTGGTGGTCAAGTTGTGGAAGAGACTGTTATTGAAGACGGAGATGAGGCAGAAGAGGAAGAAAAGCAACTGCCCAAGAAGCAAAAAGTGGAACAAAATGTAGATGACTCAGAGGAAGACCAGGTAGATACTCCTGCTTGTTACTTCTGATTGCCGTCGTCTCCTGCATGTTTCTCTGCTGTGCTGAGGGTGTTGGGCTCCTGGTCTGCCAAAGCCAGAAGAGAATTGAGCTGCACCCAGCTTGGCTGAGCCCGGGGACGTCTCTGTGACCAGCTCTGCCGGGTGGTTCCCTGCTCTTCCCCCACGTGCTCCTGCGTCAGCAGTGAACACACAAGCGGTTGAGAGCAGCGATGCTCAGGCGGGTGTAGGTAGGAGGAAATGAGGCAGCTCGGTCCCTTGGTGCCGTTTTGCCTGTGCTGAAGCTGAAGCTCAGGGTTTTTAGATGAATTGTGATCATTTACAGAGATGATTTAGGATTTCCTGAAGAAGCACAACACGGGGCTGGGTGTGAGCCAAGTCTCAGCTCTTCACAAAGCAGCGGGAATGACTCTCCCATCGCTGCTGGGAGGACAAACGTTTTTCTTTGATTGCCTCTCAACTTTTCAGCACTAACAACTCTTTATTTTTCTTGTGTCTTGGTTACCCCTGCTTCTAACCCTTGAAATTCACCATGGTGAGTTGACACCTTACCCCTGCTTCTAACCTTTGAAATTCATCGCGATGAGTTGACACGTTACCCCTGCTTCTAACCATTGAAATTCATCCTGCTGAGTTGACACGTAACTTCCCAGCCCACCTTTGCACACTGTGGGGACACCAGCCACCCAGTTTGTGCTGCCCCGTGTCCCAGTTGCCTCTGGTAACCTGTGATGAGCAAACCAGTTGAGCAAGAACTCAACCCAAGCGGATTTGGGTTGCCCAAGGAAGTTGTAGATACTCCCTCCCTGGAAGTGTTCTCGGCCAGGCTGGATGAGGCTTTGAGCAACCTGGTCTAGTGGAAGGTGTCCCTGCTGCTGGCAGGGGGGTTGGAACTGGGGGATCTCTAAGGTCCCTTCCAATCCAAACCATTCTATGATCCTTGGAGCGTTTGGCTTTTGTTGGAGCTCTCGTGCACCCCGTTTCCTTCGTGTCGCGAGTTGAGCCTCCGTCGTGAGCTCTCTCACCCCTGTGTTCTCTGTAGGACAGCGCTGAGAGGGAAGTTCTACAGCAGCAGTTGCAAGAGGCCAACAGGCAAGCTCAGGAATATCGCAGTCAGCTCCAAAAGAAAGAGCAAGAGGCAGAGGAGTACCGGCTGAAGCTGGCAACCATGGTGAGGCAGCAGCCCAACGGAGCGGAGCTGATGGTGCTCGAAGAGGTCGCTGAGGTTCACCAGCTCGTGATAACCTCAGAGGACATCAAGGAGTCAGTGCTGTCCGTGCTGGAAACGGATGAGCCTACTGATATGGTTGTGGAGACTGTAACCTCCTAATCCTTGATGACTGACTGGGTTTTGTCAAGGAAAATAACTGTTTTAATTATGTTTTGTTGTTGTTGTTCCATAAGGTGCTGTCGGCACGCGGCGGTGAGAGCAGAGGGCTGTTGCCAAAGCCACCCCATGGCTGGGGACAGAAGCTTCTCCAGCCGCTCGCAGTGTAACCGCTTTCGGCGCAGTGCCAAAAGGTGCTTTCACAGCTTGACCTTGAGAGACTGGAAGGCTTTTTTACAAGACATTAGCCAGTGAGTGACCTGGTGGCTTATTTGGTGATGTCAAAACCCACATTGCTGGGGAGCAGGAAAGAAATTCCTCATCGCCCAGAGCGGCTGGGGTGAGCTCTGAGCTGCCGGGGAACGGAGGTAACCTGAGGTGTTCGCTCCCTTCTGCACCTTCAGGAAACGGAGTCTCTTGGGGTCTTGCTTTAAAATCTTCAGGGGTACGGAGGGGATATTTCCTTTTGGTTCCAAAGGGAATTTACAGGTTCATTTTTCTTCCAAAATCATGAACCTTTTTTGATTGAAGCAACTTCAATGCAAGAGCAACGGAGCGTCTGTCGGCGTCGAACGCTGTCAGGGCAATACCGCGCTTCGCCCGCTTTGTTTCAGGGATGGTTTGAGGGAGTTCTTTGTCAGACCCCTTAAATACCCAAAGAAATCACAGGAAAAAAAAAGAAAAGAAAAGAAAAGAAAAAATTCCTCCTGAGTTTTCTGGTCTTTAGTGAAATGTTTGACGTTTCTGTGGTGATTTGCAGATCACTTATGCAAAACTATACACATGGCGGTTGCTGCCAGACAGCTCGGGAGTCGAGTTGTCTCTGGATAGACATTTCTCACTTTTTTTTTTTTACTAAACAGTTTATTTTTAAAGATATTAAAACCTTTTTTAAGAAGGATCTGATCTCGTTAGTGAAATGTTCATAGTTTTTTTTTCACTCTTTGCGGGCCTGTTTAACACCCGCATCCATTCACAGCGGATCCAGGGTTTCAAGACAGCAGGGAAGTGACTGGAACCACCCTGAGGAAAATCACCTGGAGCTCGATAATGAAAGATTATCAAGTGAAGTTGAGAAAAAAACACCATAAATGAGTGAAGTTTAGAAAAATGTCATCATGCAGACTGTGGTGTCAGTCACCAAAAGGTTCTGAGGGTGAGGAGTGACTCGCAGCTCCGAGGCCATGGCAGCTGGACTGTTCTTTGTGAGAATATCTTCTCACAAGATAAAAACCTGTAGCTGTTTTGGCCCCAGGTTTATGGGTTTGGGGTGATTTTGCCCTGGTTTTGTAACCATTGGCAGTATTTCAGGTGATCATTCAATGTCACAGTCCTCTCATTGCTTTTTTTCCCTGTTATTTCCAAGCGCATCCGGATAATCCGGGTTTGTCTTGGTTCGGGAACTGCCTGTAACGTTTCTTTGCCGATAGATCGTCCGTATCGCGGTGTCGGAGCCGAAATGCAGCCTCACGAGTTGGTAAAGGTGAGAACGTAGAGTTGTGGCTCTGAAGGAATTTCTCAGCGTGGGAGGAAACTGCTTTTCATCCTCAAATCAGTCAGTTCCTGGCGCTTGGGCCTGAAAGGAGAAGGTGGGAGCTGCCAGAATCGCACCTCATGCAGCGTTTCACCGGGTGGGTTCACCAGCGAGAGGCCACTTCACGTGCCGGTTGCTGTAAGGACTTTGTGAGACTCGCTGGTTTTGAGGTTCTAAGTGCATTTATTTATAACCAATGTAGTTATATTTATAAACAAGACTTTTTTTAAAAAAATCTTTTTCCTCAAAGGGTGTTTTGAACAAGGCTTTAATAATTATTTTTGATGAGTGAATATTCGCAGAGACTCTGTTCCTGGTTATTGATCACTTCAGCGTTTCGCTGACTTTGAGCGCGCGTTATTGGCTTTTCTTCCTCAAGAACATCAACAATTTGGGTCAGTTTGAACTCAAAAAATCTGCATCGGAAGGTTTGAGACAATATTGAGGTAAATCCAGGCAGATTCTTCTAACACCTGGGAGCGTTTGTGGCTGTAAAAGGGACATTCTCAACTTTGGCTTTTACGTTTTGCCTGGAATTTGTTGGTGATTATTTGTAAATGTGAAGAGCCCGGCAGCTGCGATGGATCGAAACGAAACAGCTCCATCATTCTCAGTTATTTCCACCTGAAAAGACTCAGTTTTGCCAAAAAATCCCTTCAGCTGGGAAACAAACTTGCCCTTCAGAAGAGGATTTGGGGGG